TATATATATATATATATAGCAAAATTATATCGATATCAATTTATGCATCCAGATCAAATTTAAAATTTATCTTGAAAATGTCACCACCTTCCAAAACTTCCGGTAAAAATTTGGAATCCGAAAGTATCTTACAAGCCGTCGTTCTTGCTGATAGTTTCAACGAACGTTTCCGTCCTATAACTCTTGATACGCCACGTGTATGATTTTTATGTGCTTAATTATTTCATACCCTACATTGCTATATAACGTTGCCTCAACCTTGTAGTGCCTTTTACCGCTTTGCAATACGCCACTCATTGAATATACCTTAGAACTTCTTGCAGTTGCTGGTGTGCAAGAGGTTTATTTATTTTGTAAAGAACACTCTGAAACAATAAATAATTATATCAAGTGGGGTTTACAATTCATATAATTTTAAGGATCATACTATTAGCTTTATATGAATTAATAAATTCGATAATTTCTTCAATTTAGAAAATCAAAATGGAGTCGATCATATTTTCCAATAAGAATAATTACAATTGTAACGCCCGAAGCACGTTCAGTTGGCGATGCATTACGAGAATTAGACGCGAAACAATTAATCAATTCCGATTTTATTCTCATAAACGGTGACGTAGTATCAAACATACACCTAGAAAAAGTTTTGGAAGCTCACAGGTAAATATTGTAATGATTTAAGATTTTTATTTTATTATCCAATTTAAGTTTTATAGCTAATTTATTTTTTACATGAAGAGATCGAAAATCTGTTGATGGCAATACAATAATGACAATGGTATAAAAATTATGGATTGATTGACATGCTATATATTTAGAATGTTATGAAAGTAATAATTTATATTTAATGAATTATATAGGTAGTTAAAGAAGCAAGTCCTTTTCACAGGACAAGGTAGTCATATATTTCTTGATTACAGTTAAGAATTAAAATAATTTCATTAAGTTTTGCGATCTTTCTCTCAGATCTTTAGGCGAATCCCCAATTTTCGTACTAGATACGAAAACTAATGAATGCGTTCATTGTGAATCAGTGGAACTTTATCCGCGTAAACGTCGTATGACTATGGATATGGAAGTATTCAAAAAGCATGTCGATGTTCAAATACGCAATTGATCTTATTGATTGTCAGATTGATATTTGTTCAGTAGAGGTAAATTAAATAGTAAAGAAAAAAACCTTTTATTTCGATGAATTAATTATCCTGAGTTCATTTTAGGTACCAGCTTTATTCACAGAGAATTTTGATTATCAAGATATTCGAAAGGATTTTGTTCATGGTATTTTGACATCTGATTTATTGGGAAAAACCATTTACTGTCATCTTGTTAAAGATGTTTATGCTGCAAGAGCACGAAATTTGCATACATACGATGCTATTAGGTTTTTAATAATTTATTTACGGGCAGTCTTTTACATTTGTTTTCATTGATTGAAATTTATTATTGTATATAAATAGTAAAGATGTATTGTCGCGATGGACTTATCCTATTGTCCCTGATAGTAATCTGCAAGAAGGAGATAGCTATGAATTTATGCGTGGACACATTTATAAAGAAAAAGATGGTTCATTATCAAGGTTAATTTATGTTTCAATATTTGAAGTTTTAACTATTTATATTAATAATACTTATTCATTATTTCAATCAGATCCTGCTCACTCGGTGAAAAAGTATTGATAGGTGCCGGTACTGAAATTGCTGAAAATGTTAAAATAACAAACTCTGTAATTGGTCGAAGAGTTACAATAGGTACTTTCCAAAATAATAACAAACAAATGAAAATAAAAAAGTTTTTGTATTTAATTATTGTTATATGTGTCAGGGCCAAATGTTGAAATAAATGGTGCTTATATTTGGGATGACGTAAAATCAAATCGAATTGTTCTGTATTCCGGTCGATATTGGCTAATAACGTTGTTCTAGAGGAAAAATGTTATCGTCAAAAGAGGATGCATACTTTCTTATGATGTAGGGAGACCCTTTGACATTTATATTATTAAATTTGGAAATTCCTGTTTAATTGTTTAACTTATAATTTCTTAGGTGGTTATCGGACCTAATGTGACATTGGAACCATATACAAAGCTAACAAAACATAAGAAAACATCAGAGTCTGATAATGAAGGGGAGGAGTCAAATGAAGGTGGTTAGTAACTATTTAATGTGGATATTTCTTTAATAAATATCTTTCTAATATTCACAATTATAATCTTAGCCTATGACTCTACATTAATTGGTGAAAAAGGGCAAGGATATATTTGGAGTGATGAGATATCAGATGCAGATGCAGACGACGATGAATTTGATACGAATAATATTCAAGTTGCAAGACTTAGTAATTTAATAATGAGTATAAAGAGTATAAATTAATTATTTTAAATAAAAAGGTGTTATTCATTTCTATTTGTTCAATTTAGCGCATGATATCTCCAATATAACTCTTACTGATAGTGACTCTCCGCCATCGGTAATATATGATTCCTCTTCAGACGAACTAAGCGATTCCGATGAATCAACAACCGAAGAAGAATCTTTAAAAGAATTCTTTAAAGAGGTTTCCCAAACACTCGAACGAGCTTTCTTGGATGGTCATACGGTGGATATTGCTTCATTGGAATTAAATACTTTGAGGATGGCTTCAAATACAACATTTCATGATTTACGAGTTGGAGTAATACCTACGATATTAGGACAAGTCGATAATGAAAATTTTTTAACTAGTACAGAAGAAGTAAATGTTGTTCAATATAAGAGAGTAATCACACATTTTTGTAATTTCTAAAGTTATTGATTATCTATCTATTAATTATCCAGATATTGGAAAAGTGGGGACCACTTATTGGAAAATTAATTCATTCAAGACAAGATCAAATCGATGCCTTACATATATTACAGGTATTCCTCTGACAGCTTGCATTGTTTACTTTCTTTCAAAGAAAAGGTTATGTATATTAATAAATAATATAGGATCATTGTGCAAAAACACAACATCATGTTAAACTTTTCGCGCCTACAATCAAGAAACTATATTTATTGGATATACTTGAAGAGGATGCAATTCTTGAATGGAATTCATCTGAACTTGCTGATGATGATCCATCAAAATCTAATATAAGAAAGAAGGCACGTCTTTTTTTTTAATATATACATTTAATACATTTATGTTAATTTTTTTACGTTTTTTAGGTGGCACCATTTATAAAATGGTTGGAAGAAGCTGAAGTTGAGGATTCTGACGATGATGACTAAAAATATTAAAATATTGGTTTTATTGGTTTCCTTTATTTTTTTAAAAAAAATGCCTCCTATAGTTTTAATCGATTAAATTTCTAGATAAGTGTAATATGATGGTCAAACCGGATCCTTTTTAAGTTAATAAATCGTATTATATTAGAGTTAGATTAAAACCAGTTAGCGCCCAGTAGTAAATTTATAGAAATTTCATAAGGAATATTTAATATGCCACAGAATAACTCGAAGAATTCAATAACGAGATACTTTCTGGTTGAATAATTTAATTAGAGTACTGTATCTAGAGAGGCATGCATTAGAAAAAGAGATGCCCTCTGGGCATGTCCCAAAAATTTCCTTCCTTTCAACTCTAACGTTATGAAACGTGAATAAGTTTGCTAAGCAAGCTTGAAACTTTCATGTCATATTTAATAACATCATCTGGATCTATTTGAATCCACTGACTTTATATTACAATTTATAATAATA